CTCTCATGCATGTATTTATACAGTATTGCAAGTAAGCATTTTCAAGCAAAGCAAATAAGCAGCAGTTTTTTCAAGCGGTTTGCCATTACATGGACATGGAACTAGGATTAACCTTCTCATTATCTTTTAGCAAGAAGTGATAAGGAAAAAATCCCAATATGTCTATTTCTGGCACAGTGCCATCTACACAAAGGCTTGGTGTTTGTCTTATGGGTGCAATGACTCTGCCAGCAAACATAAGTCAAACCTACACTCATTTTCTCAAACAAAATTATGCTTGATGTTTTGACTTGGGGTCTGCAGTGTGTTTCAAACACCAGTGTTAGCATGCAGCGTGACAGTTGTTGATAAAACAGCCTTTTTAGTCTTTCACCTCTACCCCTCAAGATTATCCTGACTGGTCTAAGAGTTTAACTCGCTCCTTTCAAGTCAAAAGCTCACCTGCCATCAAGTTGCAAAAGCTCTTCTTTTATCAAACAACTACCCCTCTGGTGGCCATGGTACGCCTCTCACCACGAACCTCTGGGAAAAACACATAATACACACTCGATGACCCAAAACATCTGCTGCTAATATGGGTCAGTTTTATCCCCAGGTCTTTTAAAAAATAATCCCACGCATGACAACTTAGTAAAAAACACAAATGCATGAATCAACTGCCCTGCGTGTCATTTTCCAACACTTGTATCAACATGCTAAGGCACCCGCTGAGCTGTGAAGTGTCTAAACTAGAACACCCGTTGCTTCTCCTCAGCTCCAAAAATGGCTCTTCCTAGGCCAGGGTCAAACGAGGAGAGAGTGAGAAGCCCAGAGAGTATTTACTGTACAAACAACAGTCGAGTTATCGTGTCTGGAAAATGGTATTTGTTGTGACTGTTTTTTGCTGGGTTATAGGAAGTGTATTTAACTGCAGGACCAATCATCAGGGATTATTTTACAGGTTTCCTGAACTGCTTCAGTATTGTGGCAATTTATCTTGCTGCTAACGTGAGTTAGAAACGTGTTGCTGTGAAACAACCTCCTATAGAAGAGCCCCATCCATCAGATTTTCCATTTCAGAATCAAAATCCACCAATAAAGGCTCCCCTAAAAGTGTGCTCTCACTACACTGCTGGGGGCCTTTTCTTATCAGGTACCGTAACAGTGAGAGCCCTGTCTCTGTTGGAGAGAAAACATCTGTACTTGACATGACCAAGTGGCTAATTGTTTGTCAGGCTTTGAAGTTGAACTATGAAGATGAAGCACTGATATAGATGTCCATCAGCCATCCCAAACTTTCTGCCGCTGTCAGTGTGGTTTAAAACAGCGGTCCCCAACCCCCGGGCCTCGGACCGGTACCGGTCCGTGAGTCGTTTGGTACCAAGCCGCGAGAGTTGAGGCTCAGGTGTGAAAATGTATGGTTTTCTGGGTTTTTATCGGTTTTCGGCATTCTTTTGTTGTCATTTTTATCGTTAACTCGGTTTTCCTGGGTCTTTTCACATGTGTTATGAATAAATCTTCTTTTTTCGGTACTAGTTTTATTTTGTTGTATTTATCCGAGACACCTTAAAGGCCGGTCCGTGAAAATATTGTCGGGCATAAACTGGTCCGTGGCGCAAAAAAGGTTGGGGACCGCTGGTTTAAAAAATTTGAGCTGTAAATAGAAACAGTTGGTATTGCAACCAGCCACCACTCACGTACTCACTGAAGCAGAACTGCATCCAGCACAAGACCTCTAATCCTCCACTGCAGCTCTGGGCTCACTTAAGTGTATTATTCTTCTTCTGTGGTGCATGAAGACCTTTGTAGTCTGTGTTACAATTAATTTTCTATTCGTCTTGTGGCAGGAAGTAGACCCACATGCCATTTTTCCTAAACTCTTCCTCTGTGAATTGATTTCTTGTTCCAAGGTGCCACTCCACCCCCTCTCCCCAGACAATATTGCGTCTACTGACCTCTAAATAGAGAAGTTTTATGCAGTTGACCTTTGACTTTTACGTCTCTGCATTTATGTCTGAGAAAATAGTGAAATTATGACACTTAACACTGTCGCCTACAAGTGTCTGGAACAGCTCTGTGAAGACTGAGGGCCATTGAGATCGCAGGTCAATTCAAGACACCTTTCACTTTGGTTTAATAACCGTGTACTGAAACGCAATCGCGCTGACATGCAATGTAAGCCCACATAGAAGTGGGCTGGGAATCCTATTCAGTGGTTGCAGAGGCTATTTACACTAATATACACATGAAGCTTGCAGTAATTTAAAGATGTCTCTCATCAGTTCCTTAAGTTAACACAAACCACCTTACCAGAGACTGAGAGTCAGTTAAAAACACACAAATTGACTGGCTGACACACACAGGCTTGAAGATTTCTATAAATGGAGACAGTTGGCCCCCCAGAGGACGAGCGCCATAAATCAGTGGTACCTTAAAATACTAGTAAACGTAATACATGCTATAGCCTCTGCTGTTAAAGCAGTAGTGTGTTTAATTAAAGCTGTTTCTGTTTGTTTTGCATTTGTCTTTAGTATAAAGTAGAACTTGCAGAGGTAAAATAATCTCTTTGCAATTATCACAATACATTCCAGATGTCACGTTATAACAGCAGATGGTCTCGGAGGACAATCAGTCAATTCATAAATGGGAAACAAAAACGTTTCAACTTAATTAGACACACAAAAAATTTAGAGCGAGGAGTGGGGAAAAAAGTATCTGCGTCTTTTACAGTCCAACTGTATAATGACCGTTTAAATGGAGTGACCGGTACATGAGGTGTCGCTCATATCACTGCACTACGACATGTGTTAGCACTGAGCCCTCTGTGAGTAACAACTTTGCACAATCATCTGTTGGGGTTTAGCCTTGTATATGAGAAGCCAGAAGCCAGCAGTAGCCTCTTTGATCATCTTCCTGATGTGCGGTCACAGCGGTTTCACCCTACTCTCTTTTGGCTCAATCAAGGGGGCCTTGATATCCGCATGTTCCAACATCCAGAAAACAAGAACCTGCTTACTGAGGAGGCACCGCAGAGAAGCAGTCAATGAGCAATCAGATTCCCTCTTATCTATTTGGCTTGGCTGGATGCGGCTGTTAATCAGTCCCATATCTCAGTAATGGTGTTCCTGTTAATTGCCTCCCTTCACTGTGGCTGTATTCCCTTTCGCTTATGATCTCTATCTGCAAATGAGGTCAGAAAGGCATATGGATCTTGTTTCCAGCCTGGCTTTGTTGGATGCTAACAGGGGACGGTTGGAAAGAGTGCTGGCCGTGTGGCCTGGCATTTAAAGCTGTCCTGAGATCAAGGCACTTGTCATCGCTCCCATGTGTTGATGTCACTACTCTGTAGGAACTTGAACTTATTCATAAAGATCCTTGTTTAACCCCAAATTTCATTCTCCAACAACTTTTCTTTTCTTCCTTTTTTTTTCTTTAGATTCAGCAGTACATGGTTGTATGTCACTTGGAAACCATTTTCATCATGACTCAGTTCCCCATGAGAATGACGTGATTTGCATATTCATTGAGCTTTTGCATCTGATGCCCATATTGCTAGACTTAGTAACGCAGCGATATCTGACTGGCTCCGGGGCAAGGCAGCCACCCGTCTGAGTTACATGCAAATACAAAAGTAAAGCAGATTGTTATTTTCTTAATCACATTCTGTACCATGACTGACTTGGCCTGCAAAGATGGTACTATTCAAGATGAAGTTGGAAGCTCAAACCTGCCGCTGACACAGCATGACAACATTTGAAAAATTTATTTGACAAATGAACTATGATGCAAATATGCACCTTTGGAGATGCAGATCCATGTAGACTGATGTCAGCTGGGGCACACTGAATTGCCTTTTGTTGCCTTCTCCCCCACTTCCAACCCTTCCAACCTTTTTTTTTTCTTTTAACTTTGAGCGTCTTACATGTCATTTCTTTCCCTCTTCTCCTCGTGCATAAATAAACCTGTGCCCTCCTCTCCCCAAGCAAACTCTAGGGCTAGCTCAAAGGTCTGGGAGCATTCCTACATGAAGACTTTTCTCTTTTCTAACTTTGTTTTGATTTTATGCTTGTTATCCACCCCTACAGCTCTGACACTCCTCAACAAGAGGCTCCGTACCTGATGAAACAAAAGGGGGGTTGTGCTGCCTGATGAACCTAAACTCAGCTTGTGGGGGTTCGGTTAAGCGCAGCAGGAAAAACGAAGGGAGCGCCATTCTCCCCAGTTCTCTGCAGACCAAATCAAATTATCTGCAGTGCGCTCATGAAAGAAGAGATTCCCCAAAGTGTTACTAAGACCGTTCTCCTCATAACCCCTTTGTTATTCAAAGGTGCCCAGCTGTTGTGCCGCTGCTCTTAAACCAGAGGGCCTTCTCTCTCTGATCTTCAGCCCTCGTGACTTCCAATGATGCCCTCGAGGCACCATGGCCTAGAGGGCAGGTGGCAGGGTGAAAGGTCTCTCTGGATAGGACAAACCCAGCTCACTCAGCTGGTTTACCTCTGTAGCTTCTGTAGTGCTTCAAAAGACTACAAAGATATGTTGCTTAATTTTATTTATTTATTCTTTTTGAGACAGATAAACTAAAATGGCCAGTGGTGATGTGAGTGACAGGTGAAAGTATAATAAGCTGCTGGAATCTGAGAATTTCATAGTTTCACTGGTTTCTATTCCTTGTAAAAACTAAACTACTATTAAAACGTCTACATTTTTGACACAGTCTAAGTACAAAACCAAATTAAACTTAGAAATAATCCCTCTTCTCATTAACTCAACCTTCATAAAAAGTATGCAAAAACTGAAAATTTTCTAAAGGAAACAAAATGTAATTATTTAAGAAAGTTAAAGTGATGATAAATGTAATTGTTACAAAAAACTCAAGCATACTGCAGAACCATACGCCTTTGTCACTGTTCAACCACCTATCACATGATACAATACTGACCTCTAGTGGAATTTTAATGAAACAACATATTTCAAGGTAAGGTTCATTGGATAAACAAATCTGCAAAGCATGCATTGTGCAGTGCTCAACATTTATTGATGCACATTTTGTAATGTATGCCTCTTGGACAGTTTTTGGTCAGTGCTTTGTGTGACCTCCCTCTTTGCTTCCACCAGTGTCACTGAGCAGTCCGAATCCTTTCCACTTAAAGAGTTAATCCTGGATAAACTGGGACTAGTTTTTATGTAACATTTTGGATTTATTTGTAATCTTATGAAGATGTATTGATAAGTCTATGGCCACCTTTTGATTGGCCTGAGTGTGTAAAGACTATAGGGTTCTTTTTGTGTCCCTAGGGGCAGTGGAAACCTGTCTGCCTTGTGGTTTGTTTGTCATATGTTCAGTGATAGTTCGTTTCACAACTGGGACACAGGTCTTGGCCCTGCTGGGATGACCATCATGCGTTTCCTGCAGTGAGCACATGTGCATGCTCTGTTTTGGAGATGAGTGCAGAGAAGCCTTAGCTGTGTGAGGACCCCACAAATCTCTCAGTCTAGCCTTGCTCTCCATGTTGATGCTGACTTCTTCCGTGCACTGAGACTTCAGGATAGTGTTAACCCGGAGGTGGATGCAGTCCCGTGTCAGAGGATGATGAAGGCCTCTCTTCTTTATCCGTTCAGTTGCAGCCTTCTCGCTAAGCTTCACTGACTGTTTAGCAATCTCACTGCACACTCTGGCTGTGAAGAAAAAAAATCCACTTACAACACAAATCAACTAATTTTAAAGTATATTTTTTCTTCCACCTTGAGCATGCTTACGTTGTATTTGGCATTTAATGGGGAGAGGACAGGATGTGGGTCCGGTGAAGCCGCTCACCTCTCTCTGGCTTCATACAGTCATGGCTGTGAATCTTTTGGGTGGTTGAAGGCAACTGTGCCACGTGATCTCCCGCAGGAGCGGAAAGAGGAAACTTTCTGAGAGAAGCTGCAGATTTCTCAGAAACCAAACTATCCTGTGGCATCACATCACAGTGGTCTCCCCGTGAGGAACTGGCATAATCCCAGAACACTTTGGCAAACTGGAAGAGCTTCACGCTGTATATCGTGTTCACTAATATACTAAGGAACATTAGTGAGACAAAGTATAAAATCAAGCTAGAGATCGCACTAAGAAAAATTGTGTAATAAGAAAAAAATAATCAAGCTCATGCGAGTCATCCGACTCACCTTTGGTCAAGGAAGTGCAGGGACAGGAGACGACCTGTTCCGGTCTCTGCTGTGATCTCTCTTAAACAATCACCAGTGAGTAAATTAAATATGCGAATCTTTCCATCCACACAGCCAGTAATAACACGAAGGTAGAGCAGCGTAAGAGATTTTACCTCCCTGCAGAACAATCAGAAGATCCTGTATTCCTAGTAAGATCCCATTTAAATTGTTCTACATGGCAGCTTCAGAGGTTACATGCTTACTTTTGGTGGCTGAATGTTATAAGACACTCCTCAACATTATGGTTGATGCTCCACACCATGACATTGCCAGTGCAGTCTCCAGATAGAAGGTGCCAGTCGTCAAGGAACAGGCACTTCACTGCACTCCTGTGGGCATCAATTGTCTTGTGGAAGATGGGACATTCATGAACAACATATGGAAAAACGGAAATGTTTCATCAGCTTCAGACAACACGAAGTGTTCTGTATTTGATTTTCCACAAATGTTTCTCACCCGGAGGAGTGCTGCATTTTCCATGTCCCATATTTTAACAAGGCCCTGTTTACAGCTGCTGTAGATAGTAGTTTTGCTGACCTTTACACATAGGACAGGACTGGGGTGCTTGAAATTAAAACCATTAAAAGGCTTCCCGGTCTGCAGACACCACACTGGCAAAGCAATGGTTCATTTCAGCTTGCTTACATATGAAAATGTTAACAGGAAGTTTTTTTTCTGAGGGTAAAAACATGACAATATACATACATTACACTGATTTCAATACACACATTTCCATTCACAGGACAGATGTAAACGATAAAAATAATGGGAGAAAGATTCAGGAAAAGCTAACCTATAAAAACTGTTTTCAGCAGTTCTTTAAAAGAAACCGCAGCTCACAGACCCTGATCAGCTGATCCACTGCTGTTTTAAGGTCTCAGTAGCTCTGCTATGTACACAGCAGCCCAGCCGTGGAAGGTTTGATATGTTATAAATAAAAATTTAAAATGGACTGAAATTCACTGGAAACTCGTAAAGGAGAGCGAGAATGAGAGTGACATGCCAGCGCTGGCTAGCAGCTTAGATGCTGCATTATTGTCCAGTTGAAGATGGGTATAATTAAAAGAAACACTGACAGTATTTTAGATGACATATAATCTTTTCTCCACAAATATGAGTGCAGGTATGTCTTAAATGGTTGGTTTGCATTTGGGTTTATCCAAAATACCTAAAAGAAACTCACTGATTAAGATAAGACATATGAATTGCTTCTTAGAAAAGACAATTTCTCAACAGGAAAATGAAAATATGTGATAAGTGTGTTTTTTGTTTTTTCTATTAAAGACAACGTGTGGTTATATTTACTCATGTAAATGTGAGCTCATGTAAAGATGGTGTATACCGATCAGTGGCCGCTTACCTTTAACTGCACAGTCTTTAGCTCCTGAGACAAGTTTATCAGCATCAGCATCCAGACAGTTGACGGTGCCAGTGTGACCGTACAGCGCCATGTCACACCGGTCTGTCTTCAAGTTCCAACACCTGAAAGTGTGATGACAGGAAAACTTCAAAACACAACCAATTAAATCAGATTCATTCATGCAAATGCATTGTCGTCAGCATCTTCTGCATAATCAATTATTACCTACTCACAGAATTCTACTCATAAATTAGATGATTTTTCACCTGATACTTGTGTCAAAGCTCGCGGTTATCAGCAGATCTCTGTCCTCACAGAGCAGCACTGCCCGAATGCTTCCAACGTGTCCTTTCAGCACCGACACGTCTTCTGTTTCTGATGACACATAAAACAGACGCACCAAACGGTCCTTTGAGCCGGTGGCCAGCAGCAGTCCTCCTCTATAGTCCAACACCCGATAAGGATCTTCGCTGCAAAAACACATAAGTGCACACCTCTGAATCACATCAGCTGTACCAGTAGAAACGTTTTCTCATTCCTGTTTTCAGAGTTTATTTGGGCACTATGAAAAATATAATAAAATAAAATACAGGGAAATCAACACTCACTTGTCCAGCAGCACTTTGGTAAAATATGCACCGCAGTAAACATTTCGCTCTTCCATTTGCACTGCTGTGGTTCTGATGTTTGCATAAGCGGAGTTAAATGGCTTGAGCTGCAGAACCAATCGAATAAACACACAATCACTGTGTTGAATATTCCGGCTGATTCCAAAAGCTGATGTTTACTGTGTAGATGGTACGACTCTGTGAAACCTTGTGGACAGTAGAATAAATATCTTCTTCCTTGTCATCCTTTACTGGTACAGGGATTTCAACAATGTTTGCATAAGTAGGACTCACAAAATTAACACTGCTGGACCCCTGTAACAGAAAAAAAAAGATTAGCACTGATCAGATTTTTTAAAATTATTCTAAAGAAGTCTGATTTTTTTTTAAGTATTTTCATTAATTAAAACCACTATAAATATTTATATAATTTAATGTGAAAAAAAAAATCTCAACCTCTATCATGGGAATAATTTGGCCCTGAAAATTTCTTCTGAATTTCATTTCCTCCATGGTTTCCTTCGCAAGTAGCTCCCAGTATTGACAAACTGCCGTGCAATGAATCAAAGTATGCTCACCTAACATTCCTACAAAACACACATACGGCATTGCACCTTTTCAATTTAACATTTACTGTATATTTAGTAAATGCAGACATAAGTGACATTGAAATTTTTACTTTAAGGACATATCGGCACACTTCACAAATTCAGGCTGCAGTAGTACAGTAGTATGCAAAGACTTGCCTAATATCCTCTTGGACAGATCAACAGGTAGGCAGCTTATGAAGTCTCTGTGTCGGCTGACCCCAGACACAGACTTGGAGGATCCCGGCACTACCATTAGAGCAGGGTCCTCAGACTCCTCCTGATTGTCATGATTGTTATTGTGGTTACTTACTGAAAAGATAAGACATACCTTATAGATCCCAAAAACTAGGAAATTAATTTGTTGGTGTGTCCCAAAATTAAATATAACATAATAAAATAATTAGTTATATCACAATAAAATAAAACACAGTTTTTCAGGATTGGGCTAATCTGAATACAATAAAATAAATAAATAGGTAAAATCTGATACTATAGAAATTACAGTTTAATAAAGTAAATATATCAATAATCTGAAATCCATATAAAATGTAATAACTAAATCTAAATCATCAATAAAAACAGAATTAAATAAAATCAGTATATGATCCAAGAAGATGGCTCAGGGGGGTGCCTATTGTAATACGATACTAGTAACAGTTCAACTCAAAATTGCAAATGGGTTTAATTTCCTCAAGCATTATCAAATCATCTTCTTTTTCTGCAAATCATCTCAACTCTCTCTCTCCATGTCCTCCTTCACTACAAATATGAATCTCCTCTGTGGTCTTCCTCTTTTCCTCTGCCTAGCAGCTCCATATTCAACATCTTTGTCCAATAAAACCCTCCTCTCTACATGTACATACCCTCTCAGCCTTCTTTTGTTTCCACAGTGCTTCACCTTAGCTGGACCAACCCACCAATTGGCCCAGATGGCATATTTGTAGAGGAATGTTTATTAAATGGCTCCAAATGGCAGTGATGTGATTAGACTTCTGTTAAGTAAGGTAACCCTGAGCTAAATGATAACTATATGGAGACTAACACTGGAGTCATTATGGGAGAAGACAACCCTTGTAACGCAAAGCTTATAGAACAAGAATTTGCTTTTACTATAATTGTGTGTGTATATTCTATAACTGTATATGTGTCGTTGGTGGCCTCTAGTGGTCCGTAGCGGGAATTGCAGTGCAGTGGAAACCAAGTCCTTTCCCACTCCTGAGATCTTACCATTAAACTCCAGGAATCCACTTTTCTGTCTGATCAGGAGCACGTTGATTAAGTTGGCGACCATCCGTAAAAGTTCGGAGTCACACAGTGAAAAAATACGGCAAACGTAGCTTGACTTGACCCAGTCCGGACTGCTGCTGAACCACTTCCAGATTTCCTTCACGTTCACTCCCAGGGGTTTTCCATCATGACCTTGGTGGGAAAAGCGTAAGGGGTGTTCCTGAGGTGTGATGGGGCTTCTTGACCTAGCGTAGGTGTGCAGCGTCCACGACGTCGCGCCACGCAGCACACCTTGGATGTTCTCGAGGACTTGGACGCTCCTGCAGCGTAAAAGGAGCGTCAGCGCGAACCTCCTCTTGAACTCATCCGACACCTTCCACAGACACCGACTGGAACCCGGAGGACTGGAGGCAAAGACGCAGGTCGGACATATACCGCACATACTGACGCATCCCTCCGCTTTTTTGGTGCTGAAAGACTTCGAGGCATTAACAGACTTCATGTCGACGCTTTCAGTAGTTTCCTTTACATTCACCACGTCCGCGCCAGGCAACATTTTTTTCGTCTTTAAACATCACAACGAACACAAACATGCAGTGACAATTCAACTGGTTGCCATGCAACAAGTTCAGCGTGTCGGCAGCTGAATGGATGCTCGCGCGGGATTGTAGGCGAGACAGTTTATTAGGTACATAAGGTGGGCACTAAATCCAAGGGCCTTTAAGATTTAAATGCTTAGTGTGTCCTGGACTGATTTACAGAGGTGTTGGATTCTTATTCTTATTCTTATTCTTATTGCTGTTCCTGCTGTGTTGGTTGTTTTCCTTTCAGAAACATAAGGTAAAATAATAGGATAAAATGTACTTTTCTTATCCCAGACGTTGGCAAATTACCGTTTTACAGCATTCAAAACAAAAATTGGTTAAACAAATTATAACTATTCAGTAAAATGAATTGTAATATGACAAAGGAAATGGCTTGATTAAACATGAAAAGAAGCTCAATTAAATTTGAATATAAAAAACAACAGGAAAACATAATGTGAAATCAAAGTAAAAAAAATAAGAAATGAAATAAAACTCTGTAAAATGCAAATATTTTAGTTTAATAATAAAATGAAGTGTCTTTATAAAGAAAATTAGCTCAAATTAAATCAAGGGTGGTACAGTGACGGTGGCTGGGTGGTTTTGTGTGGAGTTTCTCACCATCCAAAGACATACATGCGATTAGGATAAGGTGATTAAGTTAAGGTGGTTTTAATTTGCGTGTGAAAGGCTGCCTGCCTCTATTTGTTTTGTTTGTTTGTTTGTTTGTTTGTTTGTTTGTTTGTTTGTTTGTTTGTTTGTTTGTTTGTTTCCAAACAAACACATTCAGAAATAAATAAGCATAATCAAAAAAGTGTCCAAGTGTATTGAACTCTTGTGATAATGTTTTTCACAGTGTCAAATACATCTTCAAAGATTAATAAAGGTTTTTTTCCGCAAAAAAAATAGTGTAAAAAAATGTAGAGAACCCAGAGGGGTATACCACAGAAAAGGAGGAGGGAACCTAAAATTAAAAAAATGTATTTTCACTCTTAATATAGTCTACAGTATACACACACTATATACACACTCGTGCCCTTTCGCACCAGGTTCGGTCACCTGAGATCACCTAGCTGCCTCTATAATTCAAACTTCCATAATATGGCTCAGGATCAAATGTTAATGTCAAATGTTAAGGGCATGAAATGGTTAATCTTAAGGTGAGCTTTGCAGTCTCTTTCAGAGGAAAACAAAAATACTCGTGCGCCGCCCGGGAATCGAACCCGGGTCGCAAGAATGGGAATCTTGCATGATACCACTACACCAGCGGCGCCGTTGTTAGCGGGGCAGATAGAAAGCAATTTATCGGCGTGAAGCTTGGTCGAGTTTTGGACCATTATGTGTACTTTTGTTTATGGATGCTCGCCTTATATATTACTGATATGTGAAAACAATAAAAGGAAGCGATAGTAGAAGAACAGCACATATTTGAAAAACGTTGCCACTTTTATTTAAAAAGAAGGAAACGTTTACTCTTATTCTGAAAGTGTGCTCTATTTTCTTCCGGGGGACCGTATCTTAGGGTTCGGATACTTTAGTTGTGGTTTCTAGTGAAGCGTCATGCGCTAACAGCTTAATCTTTCGTGTTTTGGACGGTAGTTACGAAACAACTCCAGAAATATAGCCGTTGAACGTCAGCTTGGTACAAAAGTTCTATTCTTTATATATTATTAACTACACATGCATTAATGCCATTTGTCATGTTTTGTGCTGTGATAGCCACATTTTCGTTATTAGCTATCGGAGACTGATTTGATAGTACCTTTGCCACTGGTCCTTTTTTTTTTGTCTGTGTTAGTATTATAGCTGTAATGTTAAAGGATAAAGAGGTTTAACGTGCTGAGATAATGTTAGCTAATGCTAGCTGTAGCTTCATGTTACTATGTTTTTGACAGTGTGCATGCATCCTGTGTAAGCAACTGCCGTAAAGACTGATCATTCCCACCAGCTATCCACAGTTTTTACTCATGACGGACAGAAGCAGCAGCGTGGAGTGGGTTGAGACAACCGAGGAGGTGGTTGTAACTGAGGAGTGCATTCCCATTGAAAACAACCCCCCTGCAGGTACACTATAATGACATTACAAATAACGTTGACATCCAGTGCTGTAATATAGCCTTTAAAATAGTTTCTTTGTTCCTCTTGTGATGCCAGTTTTAGAGCCAGCAGACACGCCAATACAGAAGTTACTGGACGCTGTGGGGCAGGGAGAAAACCCAGATGGTGACGATGGCTTTTGTAAGCAAACCCCATGTTTACTCTTTTGCTATTGCAGTTTAGGTACAACTAATATCCAGCCAGAAATATGTCACAAGCCTGTGCATCGCTGCCAAAAGAGACTGGCCGAGCATGTTACAGGGCATTTAACCAAATGGGGGTAGGGATTTATTTGAACCTGTATGTATACTTTTAACCCTTTGTGGATTAGAGAAAATCCAAAATAAACTTGTGCGCCCAATTCTTGTTTTTTAAAGATGTATGCTGTACAATCATTTCACCCTGGAAATCGAATAATTCAAAGAAATGTTAAAAGTCAAAAATTAACTTGACATTCAGGCCCGTGATAAGTGTGTCAAAACTTCTGACCACAACTCCAGGACCATTGCTAAGTAAATATAATACGCTTAAATGAAAGTCAAAGTGTTTTGCTATGGTCTTATTCAGTAGTCTTTAAACTTACACATTTCAGTTTTCTATCCCATTAACCCTACCTCTCTGTCTGGTTATATCTTCTTTAGATTTTAATAGGGACACACCTGTAGATCAGTACATGTCTTTCTGAGCCACACATTTTTGTCATTTGTAAACTAGAGCTGAACTGTAGAATGTGTTAGATGGATGACTTAGCAGTGGTCTTCCCCATGAGGACCTAACCTACACAAATATTTGCAGTGTATACACATTCATTCAAAGATTTACTAATATTTAATAATAATAATGACAATATTTGACTGATAATTTGTCACTGTGGTATGTCCAGTAAAAATTACCCCAGATGAGCTTTTTTCCGTTTTTTTTCCCTTGTTTTTACATTTTTATAGATTGCGAGGAGTGCCTGACTCTCTTCCAGGACCAGAGTGATCCTGACAACATTAATGGCCCATCTTTTATTCTCGATTTTCCAACAAACATGGGCGTCATGCAGAGGGCCCTCCTGACTCTGCCTTTTGGCCTGATGATAGGCAGATCTAGTATTCCCAGTGCAGGGATTGGGGTCCTAAATTATGGGCCTGCAGTGTCTCCTGGAATGCATTTTGGACCATTTGAGGGGGAAGTGACAACAAGGGAGATTGCCATGGCAACTGACTTCTCATGGGAGGTGAGCTGGGATGTATTAAACCCAAACAATAAAACAAGTTTAAACCTCTTGATGCATATTTTGTTCTTTGTGTGTATTTTGTGACAATATTCCAATTTACTGCAGATTTACAAAGATAAGGATGACTATGACTACATTGATGCTGCCAAAGAATCATACTCAAACTGGATGAGGTATTGAATTCTTTTCTGTTGTTTCCTGTTGAATTACAAAATTAATTTTTAATTATATTCTATGAAATAAATCACAGTTTGTACAGCTTGTACTTTATTAGAAAATGCTTTTTTTTTCCTCCCTCCTGACACAGGTATGTCAACCATGCCCGTCATAGAGATGAGGCAAATCTGTTGGCAGTCCAGTACAAAGGTAGCATCCTCTTTCACTGCTGTCGCACCATAAATACTGGAGATGAGCTCTTGGTGTGGCCCAGCAGCAAACTTCATGCCCACTTTAGTGATCCTTGGGCCCAGATGTGGTATTTGAAGTTGAATGCAACAGGTACCCTGACTTTGCTAGTCTCAATAGTCCATAAAAGTGATCGTTGTAAGAGCCATAGTCATGTAAAATTTTCCTGACTGTGTTATTTAAAAATTTGATTTATAGTTTGTTTGTTTTTTTGTTGATGTTTTCGCCTTTTTCTCCTAAAATGCAGAGAGTACTGTATCCGGTACAACTCAGATCTTCCTGTGCGCCCACTGTCAGTTGTCTTTCACCACCAAAGCCTTCCTCCAGCGACACACAGAATACTTTCACACGCAGCCTGAAAGTGCTGAAGTAGCTGATGGAGAAAATAATGCCTCCAGTGCTGCAGGATCACTGGTGGTACTGTCTGTTGATCCTCTTGAATCTAAAACATGTGACGATTGCGGAAAGACATTCAAGCAAATACCTCATCTTAGGAGGCACAAGCTTTGTGTTCACTCCAACAAACGCCCCTATTGCTGCCCATGTTGCAGGCGAAGCTTTAGCCAGGCATCTGGCTTAATCAGACATCAGTTAGTTCATAGGAAGCAGGCTGTAGGAAAAGCTTCCAATCAGAAGCAAGTCCTCAGCAACAAAGAGAGTGTAACGCCAGAGTCAGAACTTTTAAAGGCAGGAGATTCAGTTGTATCTGAAAAAATGAATGAAAATGAGAACCAACAAGAAGCTATGGATACAACTGAGGCTCCTGAGTCTTGTGCAGGTGAGTCAGAAACACTCCAGTCAAACTGTTTAGATTGTGGTAAGAGTTTCACAAAGGAATCATCCCTCAAAAAGCATAAGGTGACTGTCCATGAGAGGATACGTCCGTACGTCTGCGCTGTTTGTCAGAAATGCTTCGGTCAGTACAATGACCTGACCAGACACCTGCAGCGTCACCAGAAACAGAGTAAAACAAAAACAAATGAGGATCCAGAGGACTCCGACATATTGCCCTTCAGCTGTGGCGAATGTTCACTGGCGTTTTCCTCAGTGGATGACCTTCAGCAGCACATAAATGAACATCACTCTGATGAGAGCACAGCTGAAAATAACGAAGACGATGTAATGCCTGACGGTGAAAGCGTTGAATCGGTCCAGAATCCTCCCTCTCAGAGGCCTCAGAGATTTGGAGCTAGATTCAGAGTTTCTGCCATAACTAAGCTCATTGCGCCTAAACGAAGAGCTACCAGTCCTGCTCAGCCTGCGAGGAGCTCCGCTGAACCAGAGGCGGCTTCTGTCCAAAATGGGAAGTTAAAAAAATACAAATGGTTCAGCTGCAATCGCTGTAAACAAACATATGGAAACCCAGATGACCTCAAAGCACATAAATGCACTTTGAGGCAGCACAGATGTGGCCAGTGTGGAGCAACCTTTAATAAGTCTGGTTTCCTGAAAAGGCACGAGCAGATGGTACATGTAGAGGCCAAATCTTACAGCTGCGATCGCTGCGGTAAGGTCTTCACTACACCTAGTAACCTTAAACAGCATCAGAAGAGTAACGCTTGTATGAAGTATCACTGCACGTCTGAGCTCTTCCCATGCTCCTTCTGTCAGTTCTCTTTCACCATGAAGAGCTATCTTATTAAACACATTAAAAGGCACCATCCCGTCGAGTATCTTTCACACTGCGAGTCGGACAGCCTAACGGATCAGCTGGAGGAACAAGAGGGGGAAAAAGAATATACGTGTCCTCACTGTGGCATGAACTGTATGACTGCCAAAGCTTTCAAATCTCACACATGCTTCAGGCAAGTGAAGGTTTTGTACTTGTGTAACGACTGCGGAAAGGGCTTCACAAACCACTACGGTCTGAAACAGCACCAGCGCATCCACACGGGCGAGAAGCCGTACAGCTGCCCTCACTGCAGCAAAAGCTTCTCGTACGTCGGTCAGCTCAACGTACATCTCAGGACTCACACCGGGGAGAAGCCCTACCTGTGCACCCACTGCGGGGAGAGCTTTCGGCAGTCGGGAGATCTGAAGAGACACGAGAGAAAGCACACGGGGGTGAGACCGTACAGCTGCCCCGAATGCAGCAAAAGCTTCAGCCGACCGCAGAGTCTCAAAGCTCACCAGATGCTTCACTTGGGACAGAGAATGTTCAAATGCACTCAGTGCGGGAAGAGCTTTTCCCGAAACTATCATCTCAGGAGGCACCATCAGAAGATGCACATTTAGTCTAATCGCATTTTTTTTGAAGACTTTAAATTAAAATGAAATACAGGAGCTTAAATGTGAACTAAATTGCACTTTCCCGCTTGTGTACTTGATGACTTATTGAATGTCCTGTACATAACATTCTTTTATTTTTCTTGTAAAGCATTTAGTTATTTTTTTTTTTTAGTTAAAAAAGGAAAAACACCAACAAATACTTGTCTTTGAGTGTCAAACTGCACTAAAAAATAAACAACCAACGTAACCATCACTGTTGACCATTTATTCCACAAAACATACAATGCAAAGCATGTGCACTGTACAAGCCTTAATATTATGAAAATACTCATAACCATGCCTGTTTTTTTTCTTCAATTAAGTAGTCTTAAATTTGTTTTTGTAGTCAGATCTACTACTTTTTTTGTCTTTTCTTGTTTTTTTTACATGACACAGTATAACTTTGTTTATTGGACATTAATTTTTGCATTGCTTTTGTCACTATTTGTCCTTTGTTAGCTCATATTTCCAACTTGACTATATTATAAATATTAAGTAAAATTAAAATATTTCAGTCTGACCTGAACTATACAAACATACTGGTATGACAGTTGACACAAGTAAAACTCAGTTTCATTTAAACTGTGCGTAAACTGAAACAGGTAGAAACCTGGCAGTGTTTTCCATGTGCTACACACAGCGGTGTCAAGTGCAGCTGCTGGTTAGAGAGGAGCTCCTTAAATCTAAAACTTTGCTGCTGGTAACGGCTTCTTTAACTTCCCAGTCCAGTAATGTTTCTTACATCAGTAGTCCTAACTAATTCCAGTTCTACAAGTCCATGACAACATCCATTTGAAGTGGAGGGAAGAGATATCCATTGTTTGTGGCACAGCAGTTGTGGAGGCTTGTTTCCGTGGTCCATTTTTTTCCTTTTTTCTATTTTTTTTTTCTTTTTGATAGAAGTGAGGGGTTGAAACCAGAGGATTAGTCGCTTGTTCGCGAGTCCTAATGTGTAAAAAATACACAAACACGTCTGAAAGGTAGGCAGCAGTTGGTTCTAAAGGTTATGTGACGAGACCCCTACGAAGGTTGGGATACTGTACAGTTTCAAAGACACGTCAGACTTGTTCCCGTTTATTACTCCAATCCAGTGAAGCACCATGTGTTGTCGTCTTCAGTGCGGTCTCCATCCAATTTACACATCTTTGCCACGCAAAATATACGACCCTCGACTCTCATTAGTTTATATTATGTTAAATGTTATGCACATTAAAATTTTTTACAAACCAAACTGATTGTTAAACCACACAGTATCACATCTGTACAAACTCAGAAAAAAATGTCACAAAACTAAGCGAAAGAAAGAAAGGATTTTTGTTTTGTTTTGGCAATTGAAAAGCAACAGCCTGGGCTTTCACAAGAATCACAAATTAAGGGAGAAAATACTGAAGTCTGAAAATGAAAAAGGAACAGTACATCTACGGAGTCCGTTTGTGATGATAAAACTGCTCTTCTTCCCATAAATGCCAACAGAAAAACATGGTTAAAAGGGTTAAGTGGGTGAAATACAAAGCCTGAGGGCACATACAGTATGCGACCACAAATTAAGCTCAAGTTGGACACACGAGATACCCTGCAGTTCGTTGCAAGTACTTAAAACACTCCTTTGTCGGGTGAAGTTCTATATTTATTAGAAAAGGCTTTTATAATGGTTCAGATTTCAGCTCCTCCACTCGGCACTCCAGATCAGCCACCTAAAAGAGAAGAGAGGAAAATGCACTTAAAACAATGAAGCGCTGCTGGAATGTGACTCGTACTGTTTTTGTATTTTTTGGAGATGATGTGTTCTGCTGTGCATTTCTGCTTTCAGTTGGTCCATTGATCTCCACAGCAGATCATCTTCTTCCATAGCATCCTATCCTTAGCTTCCTGCTTTGTCACACCAACCCTCCGAATGTCCTCCTTCACTACATCCATGAACCTCCTCTATGGTCTTCTTTTTATCCTCCTGCTTGGCAGCTCCATGTTCAGCATGCTTTGTCAAGAGGCACACAGGAACAATATCTCTATGGCTTGCTGCTTCATTGTTACACCCATCTCCCTCTCATTTACACTCATGTATTCTGTTTTCTACTAACAAGCAGGGAAAAAATAGGAACTACAGATAAACTTTAGCAAAAGCTTCTTTCCATCAACGGTTTTAATCCTAAGCAAAATAACGACAGCATTAAAAGCTAAATGACAGCACTATAAAAGGTACAAAGACTCCTCCCTTAATAGTAGAAAACAGTTTTTTTACAGCCATTTTTACAAGCAAATATCAACATTTCAATATTGGAAAATCAGAAGGAGGTCTTGCTTATGAATGAATCTAGTGCAAGTTTTAAATTGCTGGAGGGAGGCAGGAGGATAAACTAGACCGAAGAGAAGCTCTGTATGGGATGTTGGGTTTTTAATGCAATAAAATCAACCTTAACCTCTAAATCAGCAACAAGGTTTTCCGTTGCATTATACTTCTGCTTCAAACCTTTTTGAAATCCTACACCGTAACCTGACATGCACTTTCCTAGTAATGCAACCACACAGCAGCTCAATGATAACATACATAAACTCTTTCAACTTCATCACACTTTCTCCAAGTTCCCCAAGACATTTTTGTGGTTTCAAGATTTTCTTGAAACCACAAGCAATTCTGATTAATAGAAGTTTCAAGATCAGATTTGGTCTGGATCAAGCAAAGTGGTGTTTACTCTTGAACACTTTACAAAATGCTCTGCAAACCTACCAGCACACAGTTGTTGTGTGAATATTATATTAATTGCTAGATGTAAAGATTAAATGTGCACACACTGCCTTGAGGCACCTCGTATACCTGTTCTTGGAGTTGCCCTGACTCCTCTTTCAGAAGGTTGGCCTCAGCCCCAACTTGTGCACAGCGCTGGGTCTCCTTCTTCAGATACTCAATCTCCCTGTTAAAGGAAGAGGATAACAGCATTGGCACTCTGATCTCACAACTCTCTCGGGCTTTTGTACATGTAGTTAAACGGTCTTACTTTTGTTGATACTCCTTGATCAGACGTTTGGCTTTGCTGTATTTGCGCTCCAGGGCCTGATACTGGGCCTGCGTCTCCTTCAGGTGCTCATCCACTGCCTGGCACAGGCTCTGAGCCTCCATCCAATAGCCCTCCAGCTTCTCCATTCGCTCCTTGTTCTCCTGCAGGGTTTGCTCCAGCTGGGCCTTGTCCATACGCCAGCGCTGCTTCTCCTGCTCTGCGTGGTGCAGCTGGAAGAAAGCGTGATTCATTCATTTCAATCACATGATGATGTAAACGGACACACTCCTCTGACTCTAAAGATAAGAAATGCTCTTTTGCTTATTCTTAATAGAACCATTACATAAAATATCATGATAATATTCACTTTAAATTACCTTTCTTTTCAGTTGCTGGATCTCAGCCTGGGTGACAGCGTGTTTTATTTGGAGCTATAAAAAAAATCCCAGTGTTACTATTCTAAACACATCTCTAAATATAAGGTGCATTAGTGAAAAAAGTTTTGATTAAAGAAGAAATGTTGTAATTACGACATTCATGGCTCACCTCTTTGTATTTATGGGCCAGCTTCTCAGGGTCTGTCTCCAGAGGCGACATGTCCTCGTTCTCCGCCAAGTCAAACACCTCGATCGCAGTGGGATACGGTGGACTAGCTTCCTCATCATCATCCTCTTCCTCATCTGTGCCGTATTCCCCACCCTGCAGGGATATGGTCAAGGTTAGGACCCCGTTCATAGGCAAAAATCAAGAAAAGAAAAAAAAAAAGGAGAGCTTATGACTTATATTTTATATATATAGATGAAAGTGCATGTATAGCTGGAGAGTGAGTGAGATTAAAGTTTGTTGTCCTTCTCCTTTGCAGGTAAACAAACTCTTTCAAGTGATACGATTTACACAGAGAAAACAAAATTTGAATCTGTCAATGTTTCCAATGCTAAAATATAGTTTTTGCACATATTGGTTTCCAGGAGGGTTTTCAATTTATGCAATTCCTGGAGAAAACCAAATATATTTCTTTAAATTTGTTTAATTAATTTTTGGACATAATGCTAAAGGAAACAAGAAGGTAGAGTGTTGATGAGTGTCTTGATGGTGTCGTCCTCTTGTGCTGTGACGCCAAATAGACACTAGATGGTGCACAACTCAAGCAGGCGCCTGTACTTTTCATTACGCAACTCCACACCTAATCTTCTTACTGTCCATGAATGGAGGAACTTCCTCTCTGTTATTCTAATGAAACCATAGACAGTTCCTGAGCCTGTTCCGTGTATGTGAATGAAAAGCGAAACAATCTGAGGCATCATTGACAAACTAAAGGGCACAAAAAAGTCCCTCTGCTTAGTCACAACCCTGAGCGGAGCATATTTTCTGATCATGTTTATAATACACTGGATATCACAGTGTGGCTTTTTCTTTTTCACTGTTCATAAAAATAATCACATATTTTTTAATCCTACAGGGAAACCAATATCCTAGAGGGCTAAGTGAGGATTTTAAGGTAGCACTTTGTGCTTAACTGTGAGGCTGTTTACTGATGTCTTTGCTCTGTTAGCTCAGCTTGTGTGGGACTGTGCGTCATCTGCAGTGGTTAAATAATATCTTATGTCCCATTTTTTTTGTATTTGTGCAGAGGGGAGGGGTGAAGCTGGATTAGTAAGCACTTCACCCTCACTTCTCTACTGTGCATGTGCAGATGTTGCTCCATCACCAGTTAAAGAATGATAAACCAGGCGCAAGCAAAGTTTTTATGCTTTGATCCCTACAGTGATGGGATGTGGTAGCTTTGTTACGCTGTGGGGGGGAGACAGTTTCCTGGCATGGTTTTGGTTCACTTGGCCACTTAAGAGGAAGGAATCCCTACAAATCAATTCAAAGTTGTTCTGAGTGATCGCCTTTATCCGGTGATATAACACTACTACCCTGATGGGCATGCTCGCTTACAAAGTCCACCACCTAGAGCGCAGGAAGGATCACTGAATGGACTGATGAGTATAAAAAGGATGTGAATCATATGCTTTCACCTGATTTTAACTAAGAGGGGATTGGGGAATCATGAGTTAGATAACAGTCTTCACCACCATCATGAAAACAACTGAGGGATTATCTGTGGGAAGAAATGTGCCCCCTTCCTCACAGACTTACAGAGAT